CGAAGGATTTTAATGAAATTTAGTATTATGGGTTTACATCGAAATTTGCCGCCGAATTCGGAGGTAGAACGCTTTGAGTTCTGGTAACAGGAAGTCAGAGGACGGACGCTGTATGACCTGTTAGCTTAAATTCGGAGGCTGATGTTTATCCTCAGACACCACATTCAAATTCGGATCATGCGTAAGAAATCTGACCGCAACTTTTTCGCTCCGAGTTCTGTGCTTCGTCATCTGCATTCCTAGTAATCCTAGCGGTGTCACTGAAAAGTGAGGTAAAGTTCCACGCGTTCCGTAATTCGGCACATGCACTATTTTTACGGTAACCTCGAGAGACTGAGGAAAAGCACGAAACCGTTTACTCAGGATATCCGGTATCCTGACCAGGATTCGAACAGGGTACCTGGTTGTATCACCTTGCTTGACACAAAGGACTGAAATGTAACGCTGACAGCGATGCTTTTGTAATGCATAGATTCGGAAGGGATTTGTTTCTCTTGTTAAATGTGACTCGACTTCAAGTGGGAAGTGGAGAAACCTATCTTCCCTTCTGCTGAAGAGGATCCTTCTGGCAGGCGTCTGGACCATGTCTGATGTGAACATTATCGGAGTAAATGTACCACATGGAGGCAGAACAGAACAGAGCAGAACTGCGTCTGCTGCATGGTACTGTAGCCCTTGACAAAGTACGTATTTTGCGCAGCGGGTGTGGACGTTCTTCCAAAACGGCATAAGGCGTTTGATACTCGTATTACACAACGTGTCTCTTAAATCAGTGAGTGAATTCAGGAGGCTAGACTAGGCAGCAAATTTATCTAAACATGTTTCGTAATTGAGCTGCCACCATCATTTCTGTTTATTAGCCATCCAGTTCAGAGTATGTCATACACCTTTTCCAGCGTGAAACCCGAAGATTAAAATATATAAAAGGCATAAGAGTACACAAAAACTCTTTGAAGTAATATCCTGCAAACTTGCCCAATCTGGGCTGTGGCGCCGTGCAGGTAGTTACCAACGTTTTGAAGGAATCCAGAAAACCATAGTAGACGTCTGCACCGCCGTGACGAACTCACATTTCGGATAGTGAATAGTAAGTTGCCACAGACGTCCATACAACACGATGAAATGATGGAAGACTGAGAAATTATGAATGGAAATATGAATGAAAGGAAAGCAATCGGCCAATGTTGTGGACATAAACTCTGGACGGCACGTGTATAAATTTCCACGTGACGTCATATATTTATATTCAGTTTTATAGGTAAAGATGGAGCCGTTTTCTTTTGTCCCTTGACATCTCTGGACTCTTGCGTGTGGATTAACCCACAGGCAGCTGTTCAGCGCGCTTTGAGCTTGCATTTCGTTGATCAAACCCGAGTGACTATGAGCTCAGTGGTTCAGATTCTTCCACTCTTGTGAACTCGGTAATGGACGATGAAACAAAGCAGATACACATAAACTGAGAAATGAGAGACTGTTCCCACACACGCATGCGCACCGCGAGAGTTTACTCTAGAGGAAGTTTGTTTTTAGGTCTTTATTTTACTGGGGTGTTATTTCGGTGATCAGATGAAGGAAGAGATGTCGTAGGACGCATTGTGGAGAGAAACTTTACTCGGTAAACCTGAAGGGAAGAAACCAATTCGGATACCTGGAGACTTCGTACTTTAATCAAGTATCGTCCATTAACAACATACACGATATCACATAGACGATGAAAATTTAAGGCCTCCAACGTGTCCCGTAGGAAGGAAGCAGGGAGTGTTGATCGCTCCTGGGACACACGGTGTGTTATGTCCCAAGTTCTTTTGGTTGAGGAACTGCACCGTACCTTGTCGTGCGTGTTGCATAGTGCGACAACGTAACAGCACCCCGGTGTTTCAGAATGCCTGTGAATCTACCTTAACCCTGAGGGGTGCAACACAGGAGGTCTTCGACTTCTGATGTGTATCAGGCTTTACGGCGTGGAACCACTGGTTCATTAAACCTTTAAAGCCTAGTGGTACATATCTGTACCACCTTCTTGACAGTCTGTAAGCCTGCTATTTTATGTTTCGTATAATTCTCAGAGTGAACAAGGATTTGTACTGATTTTTTTTTCTCAAAGCGTTTATTTCAGTGAGTATTTTAATTGGGGATTTAACAGTTTTCTTTCCCGCGGTGTTTCATTTCACCCGGATTTTACTTGACAGTAAAGAATAATACTTTCATGTAGAAATTTAAATTGGCGGGCGTGTCAATACGAATTATCCATCTGATCGACGACGCTGGCATTTAATTACATTTGTTTGCCGTTTATCTAATCGATCGTTTGAGGCGCTAGGCACTGAAAGTAGTGGTAGGAGATTAGGATACAAATTTTAATGGCCTAAATGATAATTGTTTGCAATTTTGATACCAGGTTTGAGAAATTTCACCTTTGGAGCTACTGACTGTCGGCGTTACTAAGCCGAAGAAACTTTCTCTTATGCAGGAGCGGTGACGGTTGTCTCCAGCACAACACTGACCCCACATCGGGGCCCTTAGACAACAGCAATTCATTATTTCACGACAACGCGAATCTTGGCGGTGGCGGTGGGGGTGGTGGCTCTATGGGGCGGCGCCCACTTGACCTCACCTCCTCCCTGCGGGTGAAACCCGACCTCATCGACACTGCGGAGCAACGTGCCAGCTCCAGGGACTCTAACAAGTAGGTGCACACTGCAGCTTATTTAACGACCCCATGCCAACTGCAAGGGATTTCTCTCCTTGTGAAGTGGAAGTGATTTGGTAAGAAGTAGTCGTGATTTGTGTAGTGTAACATTGTCGTGTTTGATTGAAAACACAGCGATGGATTAATTCACGTGAATTCCATGGTCATTATTAAGTTTTTGTAGGGTACATGCTTCGACGAAGACCTGCCTCTAACAGAAAAATATTTAAGTCACTTGGAATTTACTAGAGGCAGATTTTTAATGCATGTGCCTTAAAACAACAGTGAATGTTTCTCACTTATTTTAAAGCACGAGGTATTGCCGTTTGCTTAACATTGCTTTAATGATCGGGAAGCTGTGTGTAAAATTACCGTGTACTGTGAAGTACTGTGTTATATTGAGCGGTTAATGTTATGCAAATATAGAACAGTAAGGGAGCAGTGACCTTTAAATTGGGGAAATGAAGATAATTAAATGGTTTTGTGGTTTAAAGTAGTGATACTGGAGAAATGTGGAGTCATTTCATCGAATGGAAGATGACATCCCTATGTACTTACCGCTGTGTATCTATAGACCCATTCCATTATACGCATGTCCCATGACATGCACGCATGATGTGGTCTGCTGATTCTGTCTTACGATCTGTTTTATGGTGTGTTTGTTGGCATATGGCGCCGTAGTGGGTGAACCAGAGTCTGATGGGGTAGGGTAAGGCGGGGTAGTGTCTGTGGGACGTGGGAGCTTTTACGTACATACAACAAGTATTGATTGTCTGCAGCGAAACCGACTGCTTGGAAGTCTAGAAATCCCCCAACCTCTTGCAAGTAAACTGACGTCACAAGAATCTCTTGTTGGATTGGTCCCTCGGAGAGATTTTCAGACTGCGGAGCTACTTTCAAGATTGATTTCTGTTTTATGTACATGTTTGTACCGATAAGTTTTAATGTGTCTGTGCTATTTTGTTGGTAGTTGCAGACATGAACAGGCATACCGACGGTTCTCTCTAAAGGTTTGAGTCAGTGATTGGTTCATTACACCGTAATTATTTCGGACATTGCCTCCTGTCCGAGTCGTATTTAATACGTATGCGAAAGGCGAGTAGGAGTACGCCGTGTTCACAAGGGCTCGACACCGGTCCCAGTCTTGAGCCATACAAATCCAATCCACACCCCACACTTTTACGGCGTCGCGACGATGGGCGTCGGTTTGCTAGCATCGTGTCTTGTGCCTTCATGTTTGCAAAATGGAATGCTGATTTGGCCTCGCGTCGGGACGCTTCGCAGCGGTTTGCCAGCGTCGTGAATTATGGCTTTCCAGGCTCATGCACGCTTTATGTGGAATCTTGAGTCGATTTGCGAACACCAACTCGACTTGTGTCTCTGTCCGCTCTAACCGGCGTGCAAGAGGATGTAGGTCATGTTACATTCCATGATTTTCCTTGACCTCTATGACATGTGTGAATGAACACGTGTCTAACCCGGACCTTTAAGGCGAATAGTCGGCGTACCTCTGGGGTCTAAACTTGGCATATTTCGCAAATACTATGCACGCAGTAGCAACCGCCTACAGCCCCAGGTTTTGCTTAATTCTGGTTTTAATAGGAATACATTACCTTCAGTACCTTCTGGGCATAACAGAACTCAGCCAACTAGTTGGACAAAATAAATTTTCATAAAACTCGGATCAGCGCAGCAATGCAATAACTAAATGATTTATTTGTATGTTGTATAATGACACTTCTTGAATTAAATTGGGGTTGAATAGTAACGTCGAAAAAGTAGGATGATTATTTGAATAAAAAAATAGGAAAAGATTTGTAAGAAGTCGTGGTCTGTTCTAAAGAACTGTCCAAGGTCTCAGATGGGAGGTACTAATTACTGCAACGCGACTTTCTGTAAACCAACTAACCAACTACTCGTACATGATCCGGGGTGTTTGTTGAACAGTCGATAATTATTAGCCATTTAAGAAATCTCACGTCTTATGGAACTCGTAGGTTCAGCTCCGTGTTCACAGAAGTATATTGTTCAAATACGTTCTGAGCTAGGTCAATTCAGTTTATATATTCACTGCATGTAAGATCTGTTTTAATATTATCCTCCCACATAGTCTTTTTCACTTCTGTCTTGCCACCCAAACATTATACGTATATTGTAATTTGTTTCCCTCATGCGTTCTACATGTATTGTTCATGTAATCCTTTTTGGTATAGTCACCTCAATCAATATAATGCAACAGTAAAGTATAAATAAGATGTAGGGTCATGGTTTAGCTTGGTGATATTGCGTGATTTGTGCTCATAAAATACACCAACTCCGGGTCCAAATCTCTGCTGAGGAATCTGCTGTCTTGACATCCCAACATTTTTTTTTTTGGGTACATCAGTCCTTCCAGATCAGTGCCGGGATAAAAGGGTCGAACTACCTTGACACTCATTTAAGATCTGAAGTTTTGTGCCGAATTTCTTGAATACCTTTGACAGCAGAAGACTCATTCGCTGTCCTCTATCTTTGCTGAGGTCTTGAACAGGGGCAGCTTTCCTTCACGCTGTTGTACTTAGGCACAAGACTAATTCTATGGAGCAGATTCCTCCTTGGGTAGCTAATAGTCATTCAGCTAGTCAGAAAAGTTGCTGTCTTTATGGTCCATCCATCTCTTCCCCTCGCTCTTTCTTTTGGTAACAGCGGAAAATGACTGACATCTTATATCATCGAATGTTTCATAGCTCAGTGGTAGGTTAGAAAATTCAAATTGATCCTCAGATTTTTGGTGATATATTTTCTTGTTTGTTTTACAGTCTTTGTGAAAAGCCAGTAAACCTCAACACAGCAGATGACGACGGTTCTGTACCGCATATTGCCGGCCAGTTGAACAGTGACCTTTACGCTGTTCCTGTAAAACGCAGGCCTCCCCAGAAGCACTCTTCGCTGTCGCCAAATGGCAGCAACAGTCCCAAGCACTCTGTTGGATCTCCTGGCAGTGGTCTTGAAAACTTACCACCGGGCTGGGAGAAGCACGAAGGTAATAGTGCTATATACTGTCATTGAGATTTAGTTAAATTGTGGTTGTAGTAATGTTTAATTTATGCTGTGGTTTTATATGTCTTTTGGACCTTGTCCATTGTTTTTAACTCACCATGTCCCATTTCCTTCATAAGATAAATAAATCCTCCGTTATGTCCGTGGGTGTATATTATACGTCACTTAATTTCAAATGTACGTTTTTGTGGGCATTCCGCTAGTCAAATTATTTTTTAAAAATATTATCCGGTTAATTGCCGTGTTGTGATAGTGTACTGTAGATACATTGTGTCAATATGGAGCTTGCTATACGAATTTCATCTCAATAGGCTATATTTATCTCATTTTCTTGCAGATAATGATGGACCGTACTACTGGCATATAAAGAGTGGGACTATACAGAGGGAGCCACCTGCGACGCCACCCAACAGCAAGACCGAACCTAGGAGGCCACTAGTGAAGGACGCAGAGAGTGTACGTTCAGAAATCATTATATTTAAGTAATATAGAGTACGAAGCATTTGATATTTTCTTCGTCACAGTCTTACCTAATTTGCATTTGTGGTTAAGTCTCAGTTGATGCTATATGACCTGTGCAGTTGAAATAGCATCAGTAAGTAACCAGAATTGGTTGATCTTAATTTATAAAACTTTTCTTGAACAGGCTCTGAACACTTACCAGCAAACTGGAGTCGGTGGAATTTGTGGAGTTTTGGGAACTGGCGTAACCAGGAGCAACACCAGTTCAGCCCTCGAGGAGCTCGATACCGGCAAGAAGAAGGAAGACCGAAAAGAAGAGCTCGCTTTAAAGTAAGAAATGCTTGTAATGTTAACAGACTTCATGGAGCTGAGTCCTTCTTCAGAAGCTGATGACATTTGGCTAGTCAAAAAATTCCCCGCCTCTCACAAGAACCTACTAAAAAATTCTGTATAACTACGTCGCTGTGAGTAGTGAGTGACCATCCCACTGACTGCACAGTTTCTACTCCTGATCCTGATTTGTCTGCCATCTAGTAGGGAATCAGGACATGGGTGAGAAATGGCCACTGAATTTTGCTTATGAAACATCTCGTATCATGCTCGCAAGGTTCTTTTACATGCCGTAAATCTACGGCTTGGGACTGCCGGCTTTACTTCCCCTCCGAAGGAGGTTGTGCTACGGATTTTTATCACCCTTAAAAATCCATCGACCTCAGCCAGGTTTGAACCCGCGAACCTTGGGTCCAGTGGCGAGCACGCTAAGAAATTGCTACACCATGTAAAGTACTTTACTTGATACTCTTTATGCGTCGGAAGCTATGTTCTTATTAAATCATTATAAACCAACATAGCACTGACAGTGCTAAACTTTAAATGATACTATAAATTTTTCGCTAGATAAAGTGTGTATAGTATTTATTTTATTTATTAGGAGACGCAGCTATCCAGCGCGTGCTGAACCATCAGATTCAAAAGGCTCAGAACGGCCAATCAGATTTGCTGTGAGGTCGCTAGGATGGGTGGAGATTGCTGAAGAGGATCTTACACCAGAGAGGAGCAGTAAAGCTGTTAACAAATGCATTGTGGATCTATCATTCGGACGTTTTGACTTGTTGGATGTCGTAGGGAGATGGGGTGATGTAAGTGTTATTCATACATTTCTTGTTGTTTTATGCATCTTGTTTGACATCATTTTTGAATTTCTCTTATGTTAGTTTGTATTTTTTTTCCTCATTATATTTGGGTTGGTAATGGTGTGTCAGACAGGGCATATGCATAATGAACAGAAGTCTGTAGTGAAAATGTTATATACCATGACAAACTTCTATAAGCCTGGCTAATATATCACCAGATATCACAATGCAGATCTTTGAAAATCAAGATTAAATAAATTCTGCACTATATTTGTTTTGATAATTGAGCAAAACAGTATCATATTCTGCAGATTGTGGCTACATTTGCTTTATAAAATTTTATATTCATGTGTAAATGTCACCAAGTTCAGTAAATTCTTCTTCTTCTATGGCTCTCCGGTCCGTATTCGGCCCATGGCCTCCTCAATTCTCCTCTTCCATTCGGTCCTCTGTTAGGTCCGTCTGTCCGAGGCTTTGATCGAGGTTTCGAAACATCTTCCTTTTTACGGCGCAAGGTTGTTAGCCTTGCGACCAACCTCCAACCTGGAGGACCAGGGTACCTGTCTTAGTCTGACCTCTCCCCCTCGACCAATCTGACTAGGGAGGCCCTACCAGTAGCTACGCTACCGCCAGCATAGCTCTTGGGATAAATTCAGTAAATTACAAGGGTAAATAAAACATTGTAGGCAGTTAAATTATATGTATTGATCAAATTATTACATAGTAGTTAGACGTGTCTTATTTTTTTATGTACGAGGGTCACTCCTAAAATAATGCACCGTAATTTTTAAACATTCAATTTTTATTTTGAAACTTTGCTTAGTCAAATTCTCTGTATGGAAGACTGGTCTATTTAACATAAAGTTTTTGAGCACCACAGCATAATATATCTATCACTAATAGTGCTATTCTCTGGCTACAGAGACTTTATTCCTATAACTAGAAACCTATGCTCTCCTTCCCTATTCCCACTTATATCATACTAATTTTATTTTATTATATACAAGGAATAGTGTATAATGAGGATTTCATTCATGGGGGTATTCTATAGAATCATTCAACAGCATTTACATTTTATCACTCGGATTTAACACATCAGCTGTACTGCCGATATAAATGGTGATCTGTTGATAATCTGACCTTTCTCTTTGAACTTGTTTCTTATAAAATTGGCCCTTCATCACATGATTCTAGACATTCTGGAAGTACATGAAACCGTAAATTCATTTCACCCTACACAGTTACCATAATTTGGCTGTGTTTGCAGATGAATGTAACTCATGTTTGTGTGGTTAATTTTATGGACTTTGCTGAAAGAATGGTTGGAAATCAGCATGAGTACTTATTAATTTTGTCTGAAATAAAAGTAGTTTATTTTTATGTCATTATAATTTCTGAAGATGCTTCATTGTACTGATGTTTTCTCAG